CTGGATTGTACATTATTACACTGGAGTCGTCCATAGAAAACGACAGCTTTGTCTGAGATGATCTATCCCCTGATGCATGCGCGATCTGGCTTCCTTTCAAATTTGACTCCAGTGAACCTTCAAATATCGGTGTAAATTTGTTTTTTCCTTTCTTCTTCAACTTCTTGTCCTTCTTTTTGTTGTTACCACCTCCGTACCTTTGTTTCAACGGAGCAACTATTTTCTCATCACGAAGATGTTGTAAATCTTCCACGCAAAATCCGGCTCTCCTTGTGTCTGCTGCGGGTTTATTACCGTACTCGTCACTCACATTGGATTTCTGTTGTTGCTGTTCTGCTCTGCGTTTGCACATTTGGGAAGCACTGGGTGACAATCGGCCTGTTCTGTCAATGTCCTCTGTGGTGTTTCCAGTGTCATCCGCGCCACCAGTTGATGCTTCTCCAATGTCACACTTGGTTGGTGTGTACGGTTCTCTGTGATGAGATGGCTTACTGTTCGGTCCAATTCCGAAAGCTCGTCGACGCTGTTGCCTGGAGGGTCTCACGTATTTGTATTCATAATTGCCAGTCAAGTACCATCTCCTGTAACCATCAAAGAGATAACCCGGATAGCCAGGCTTAAGGTCTTCGATTCCATCGATTGCAAAGGTCTTGTGTCCGCTGTGACTCTGGACTCGCTCCTTCTCTTTCACGTGAGTATTTCCTTTGAGATAGATGGTTGCGCTCTTGGAATCGTTTTTTTCCTTTGGTTTTGTTTTCTTTCCCGCTTCACATGTCACCATACTAACAGCTGCGGACTCGACGTCGGTCTTCTCGGCATGTTTTTCTTTCTCATCCCGAGCTGGTTGGGCATTTTCATTCTTGGCTTTGTTCTGTTCCAATCCCTCTTCTGCACACTGTTTTATCTCAGCGAGTTCCGCATCCGTCAGCCTCATCATCTGCTTTTTGATCCTCTGATTTTCTTTTTTAATGCGACGTTTTTCTCTTTTGTCCGACTTCTTCATCATAAGTTTTGCATTTTTGCTTGGTTCTCGTGGACGTGGCGGCTTTCCCGCCAAAAGCCAAGCAATATCGCTGTTATCTATGCTACTGCTTGCACCACTTTCGTTAGCTTCTGCTTTGAACTGACACTCGTTTTTTTCTTCCTTCTCCTCACCGATATTGTTATCGTCGTCAGGGTTTACTTTGCTATCTAAATCTAAGATTTCTTTGGATTCCTGTCCTTGTGCAGCATTTGGTACGCCTTGGGTTTTATCGCCTTGAGTTTCTTGCTCATTTTCATCGCGGTTCACCTTCCGAGAAGCTTTTAAAATCTTTCTATTTTGAATATTGTCAATGTGTTCCGTTTTCGGTCGGACAAATTCTTGTTTGGTCTCTTTCACGCTTGTCTGTGTTGTCTCCGTCCTCGCTGGAGTTGTTTGCTTTTTATCGCCTTGCACAGGAAGGGGGATCCGCGAAGGCTGGTCTTTGTTTTGAACATTTTTCTTGGCTGCGTGCACTGGTGCAGATGTTTGTTCTGAAGAACAGCCTGTTTTCAAAGGGCTTTGGTTACCACCAGCGGTGTTTTGTCCGTCCTGATGTGCTGTTGTATTAGTTGTCATCTGCGGTTTAGAAGATGCTGGCTGTGCATGTTTGGCATTATCCTCGGTCTTATTACTAGCTTGGCCGGTCGTAAAATACTGTCGCACTCTTTGAGCTTTCTCGTCCATGTTATTGGATGATCCTGAAGGAGGGTAAGGCCAACGGCCTAATGTATAGGGAAATTGGCTTGCAGGAAGACGTGAGGGTCCTATGTATCTTCGAGGTATATTAGACACCATGTTGTAGGGGGTTTGCTGGAATTGCGGTTGTTTTGTAGCTCCAGCAATTTCTCCCTCTCGTTCTTTATAGGATGGATCCTGACGGTTGCCAGGGCTGGCTCCCGACTTCGGAGTTTTATCTGGCGTCAAAGGAGTCTCGGAGTTGTTGCGCATGGCTACCTTGGAAGCATATGAATTCGCTTCCTTTTTCCAGTGTGGTTCTTCTGTGCTTACGTCTACCTTCTTTGCGACTTGTTTTTCAGTTTTGACCTCCGCTTTCCTGGGGTATTGTTTTTCGTGTTTCACCTCTTCAGTCTTCATTTCCTCTTCCGTTTTGTAGCCCACTTTCTTTTCTTGTGATATTGCTGACTTAATCCCTTTCAACTTTGCTTCCTTATTTTCGGGAGGTATTCGCTGTTCTCCCCCCTTGCTAACTTCTTGTTTATCAACTACATGTAAGCGTCCTCCCTTATCAGCCGTCTCCTCCGAATGTTTGTTTTTACCCTTGCATTTGCCCTTCTCGGCCTTTTTCCCTGGTGTTCGTGGCTCATCATGCAATCGTTCTGTAGATTTACCGGGCTTAAGTAATTTGTTTTTCGGTGCGTTTTCTTTTGGTTGTTTTTCCCCTTTGAAAAAGTCCTTGATGGAACACAACATTTTCATAAAACCGCCACCGCCATTATTGTTAGCTCTGCTGTTTTCTTCCGGCTCAGAAGTGTAATCTACAGTACTTGCATCAACACATTCTTCTTCAGATTCCTGATCTTGCTTAGTATCTATGACCTCCAGAGGTTCAGTTGAACCACCTGCCTTTACTTGAAACATTGCCGTAATTTTGTCAAAATTTTCCCCTTTACCACTCTCGTTTATTTTCGCATGGCGTGTTGCTGTGTTCAATTCATGGGACTTGTTGTACTGGGAGTCAGGTGCCAGATTCGTTTTATCTGTGCCACATTTGGCAAGTCCTTTCCCTGGTCTATGCAGTTGGTCGCTGCTCTTGGAAACGGTTCCTGTTTGGCACTTAAGGGCCGCGTGGGTACCAGTAAACATCTTCGTCCCATCTTCATCCAGCTCGCGGTCCTCGCCGGGAAGGATGGTTGTCACAATCGTCGTGGTGTCGCCGAAAATAACAGGTCGACGGCTTCCATCAGCATGCATGTGTAGATCCCAATAGAGAGGCATTGGTATTGTGCTCGAGCCCAGATCATCTTGAGACACTTCCAGATAACTCACATCCGCATCTCCATGACGTTCCTGATTCCTGCGGGAAATATCATCATCGTCGTCGTCTAGCTTAGTTTTATCTTTCTTCTTCTTTTTCTTCTTCTTCTTTCGCTTTGACATTTCCATGGCCAGCAGTTCTTTGCAGACAACCTCCGATCGTTCTTTCGCCACGTTATTGAAGATGTCCTTAAACCTGTACCAAATCAGCTCAACCAGCTTCAGTTCCGACTCGGTAAAACTCGCCGCTTTCACCAACTCCTCGAACTTCGTGACATGGGGCGCAAGGAGGTAGTACTTTTTTCGGAGCCACTTGAGACCCTCGGGGATCTCGGAGGCAAAGGTTATCGTGAGGAAAGCGCCCACAGCGCTGCTGTCGCCCCACTTCCCGCTGTTCACGAACACGTCGAGAATTTTCAGGCACGCCTCCGGCCCGCGGCACTGGACAAACTGCTGGACGAACCTGCACTGGACCCCCCTGCTGACCTGAGCGTTCTCCGCCTCGGGGTCGTTCATCAGGGAGCACATCATGTAACACGCTGACTCGCAGATCTCCTCGGACGACGTAAAGGTGTTGATGACGTGCACAAGGTCAACGATCACTTTATGGCGGTAGAAGTTGTCCTTGTTGGTGTTGTTATTGGTCAGGCAGGCCAGCACGGGGAAGAGGGTGCTGCAATAGTATTCCTCCGGAGCGAGCTTGGAGGCCTTTGGTACGTCCCTGATTAGCTGAACCCGCCTCTGATTAAGGTCACAATGAGGTAGGTTAGTGTGTATGCTTTAAAACTGCATTCTAGACAATATCAAATAATGGATGCGTTTACAGCATGCCTGTATTGTGTCACTGTGCCTTAAAGTGTTTGCTAAGGAGAAGATGTATACCTTTGTGAACACGTCCGTTACGTACATATAATGTATTATTGGTGAAAGACGTGACTCTCCCGACTCCTTATGTTTCAAAGCAATGGGTCTAGTACGTAAGTATAGTGTTTAAAAAGTCCACGGTTGTGTAATAGATAAATAATCATTGAATATCAAGATATCATAAGGGTAAGCCAACCGGCGATTACGGCAAGGTGATTGTCAGATATACATGTAACACCCTAACCGAACATTCAAAAATTCATTCTTATTAATCAACATTTCAATATTTTGGCACCTTTCTTGGCACTTTTTTTTTAAATTTCATCTGGAATCATAAAAATGCAGAATACAACTTTACGCCGACGATTAAAGTGAAGCTCATATAAAACAATCTACATTTCCTAATTCTTGTGCTACACACAATTCCCAATTGGCTAATTAGAAATCTTTATCACTTTTCAGTGGCAGACCTACCCCGATGTATTTCTCCCTCATGGCACTGGTCAGCTTACTCAGCAGATACTCGGCCGCCTTGGTCTCTGTGCCGACTTTGTTGTTCCCACCAATTGATGCATTTGTTAGCTCGCTAAGAATTGCCCTGCATATAGCCGTGCGGCCGATCTGTTCAAATCAAATAAAAAGCTCAAAGTCTGGATGTATGTTATACCGAATCATAATTTGAGGTCATATTTTTAAAAATGTCTTTGGTCGGCTTGGAACCATTGTTCTTAATTGGGTGCAAGTTCAGAATCGAGGCTTCATGAAACTTTATTTAATCAGATCCTATTTATCAGATCTGCAACAAATCTAAGACTTCTAAAAAGATATATTACACTACATTACACTGGGAATTCTGTTTATTTTTCTCTCTTCGCCAAACACACATGAACAGAGAGAGAGAGAGAGGGAGAGAGAAAGGGAGCAGGTGGGGGGGAGACTTACGAAATCCTCCTGAAGAAGGTTGGTGCCCGCTGCCACCAATTTCTCCACTGTCTTGATGTTGTCAGTATGCACGGCTGCAAGCATCAGGGCAGTAGATCCGTCCTGTAATAATCAACCACGGCAAATACGAGAGTTTTGCCGATTGCTTTTTTTTTAAATTACAGTTGTCAAATTATCATTGCAAGTGATATTCATTGCAGAACTTTTTTCGTCCAATCAACACAGATGTTAAATTTTTGCACTGTAATATATAAAAAGGAAATTAAATAAATAACTGAATTAAATAAAATCTAACTGAAAGCAAATTAAGGACTATCTGGGAAAATAAAGCAATCATCATCATCATCATCCCGTCCGCACTTACGTTGGCCTGCTTGTGTTTGTCGGCGCCCGCGGATATCAGCATGTTGACACAGCTCTCCCAGTTCTTGTCTGCGGCGATCATCAACAATGTGTAGCCGTTCTGAAAATATCATTATGGATACTGGTTATTAGTCTAGTAAACTGAGCGAAAAAAATGGCCTAACCCAGGACTAATTGCAAAAAAATTGTAATGATGTTTTTTAGAAAGCTAAATATCCCAATTTTAACATATTAAAAATCTAGAAAAATCTAAGTAGTGGAAAATGGTTTTTAGGGCAGTTTTCCAAGATGGCCGCCAATATATTAAGTCTTTATAGGTAAAGGGGGTCTTTATTTTTTAGGAGTATTTTTGCTGGAATAAATGGGGTTAATACCTTGAAATATATCCAGACTTAGTGACAAAGACCTTTTTGTTTAAAAGAAAAGCATATTTGATAAGAATTATTCACCAAAGGTCATTGGCTTAGGGTCAAAGGTCAGGCAAAGGTAATTTTTATAGATTTTTACCTGAAATATTGCCTAAAAGTTTGCAATAAAAGTTTTTAAAGATTGGTTATTGAAACTTTTGGTGTTTATTACAATTACTACATCACTCACAACAAATCTGTGAAGTTTGGCTGCAAAATATGTATTTTTAGGAGAAATATGAGACAAATTGTGAAAAATCAGATGAATAAAAAGTATGTATAAATGTATAGGGTAGGTATTAAATGTTGACTTCTCTTCATTCTGGGGACAAATATTTCTATGTAAATGTCATATAATACATAGAAAACATTCGTTTTTTACATTTTCTTGTTACAACCATTTATGTTCAGGCTCAATTCCTTTTTTTCCAATATGGCCGCCAGCAAGGGTATCCATAAGGTTTTATAAGACTTAATTTTTTAAACATTTTTTTTCAGTAGGGACTTACTGCAAAAAAATTGTAATTAGGTATTTTAGAAAGCTTTATATCCAAATTAAAACATAATAAAAATCTAGAAAAATCTAAGTAGTGGAAAAAGGTTTTTAAGGGAGCTTTTCCAAGATGGCCACCATTATATTGCGTCACTGTAAGTAAATGGTGCCTTTTAATTTAGGTGGTATTTTGCTAAGATAAATGGGGGTTAATCCTTGAAATATACACAAAGTTGTAGACAAAGAATAATTTGTTGAAAAGATAAGCTTATTTAATGGGAATTATTCACCAAAGGTCATCGACTTGGGGTCAAAGGTCAGGCAAAGGTCATTCGTACAGATTTTTAACATGAAATTTTGCCTTAAAGTTTACAGTAAATGTTTTTAAAGATAGGTTATTGAAATTTTTGGTGTTAATTACAATTATTACATAACTCACAACAAATCCATGAAGTTTGGCTGCAAAATATGTATATTTAGGAGAAATATGAGACAAATTGTGAAAAATCAGATGGATTAAAATTATGTATAAGTGGATAGGGTAGGTACGGTAATTAATATTGACTTCTTTTCATTCTGAGGACAAAGATTTCTATGTAAATGTCATATAATATATAGAAAAAACTTGTTTTTTTACATTTTCTCTTTACACCCATCTACGTTCCAGTTCAATGCATTTTTCAATATGGCCGCCAGTAAGTGCATTCATAAGTTTTTATAAGACATAATTTCTTGAACGTTTTTTTTTTCAGTAGGGACTTATTTAAAAAAATGTAATGAGGTATTTCAGAAAGCTTAATATCCAAATTTAAACACAATAAAAATCTAGAAAAATCTAAGTAGTGGAAAAAGGTTTTTAAGGCAGCTTTTGCAAGATGGCCGCCATTATATTGCATCACTATAAGTAAAAGGTGTTGTTTAATATAGATAGTATTGTGCTAGAAATAAATAAAGGTAAAACCTCGAAATACACACAAAGTTAAAGAAAAGGACCTATTCAGTGAAAAAAAGCTTAATAGGAATTATTCACTAAAGGTCACTGGCTTGAGTCAAAGTTCAGGCAAAGACCATTTGTACAGATTTTCCCTAAAGTGTTGCCTAAAATTGCAAATTATGTTTTTGAACATAGGCAATTGAATTTGTTTGGGTGATCATTATTTCATTCACAACAATTATGTGAAATTTGGCTTCACATAAGGCCATTTAGGAGAAATATATAGATAATTCATAAGGCTGTCTTCAGTAAATATTCCACTCAAGATTGTGTCTTTACCCCATTTTCTTAATTATATTGATGAGTAAGTAATAAAGGTAAAAAGTTGTTCAGTTAACAGTGGCACCAAACACAATATGTCTTTTTTTCTAAGAATGCATTCCCATAGATTTTTAGATCAATATATCCCTGTGGGGATTCTCACTACATTGTTGTCAGCCTGACCAGCTTAAATGTCTGTCCTGCCTACGAAAAGCTGTTAGGGGGTAATTAACTTTTGTACCTGACCTCAATTTAGCGTGAACCTCCAAGGAGTTAGGTCGTTCCGGATAGATTGATCTAAATCTATGGGAACCCAAGCTAAGACAGACTGAAATGTTGCATCAATTGGACAAGCAATCATATAATCAGCCAAGCCAAATGTGCTGCTGGCCTGTCCAAATATGTTTGGGTGTCCAACTGCATAAACTTTTTGGAAACAGATTCCTAATTGCATGGATTCTGTTGCTAGTACTCCTAATAGTAAGATATGAGAGGGACTCCAGGGCCACATAAGGGACAGAACCCTGGAGTATTTGTTGCCACATTCACCAACATGGAAAACCCCAAATATCTAGGAATCGGATCCTGTCAGAATCGGATCCTTTCCAGCCACCTCCCGAACTACTATGGAATGGTTACATGGGCAAATGGTGACTAGAGGGAATCACCCAGCAAAAGCATCTGTTATGCCTCTTTCTCTGATAGATATAGATCTACAGAAAGAACTGTCATGCATCTACCCCACACTGAATTTAATTTATTCACGCATTCAACAGTTCAGAGCAACCCCCAATAATTACCTTTAATCAACCACTGTAGTGGCAGGACCAGACTAGTGTTGAAAGTGAACAAGAATCCAATACACTACCATCTCCAGTTGCAAGGCTTGTTGGCTTCCACACAGAGATGAGCTTCCTTTAGTGCATATGTCAACTCATAACAGGGTCAGGACTTTGAGAAGTTCTTGAAACTATATTTGCTGTCAATACAGTAAGCCACATGATTCCCAGGGAATGCTCTGGCTAGGGCAATGAGGGTCCAGCTATAACTTGATCTCTCCCTCATTGCACTTCTCATCTTCAAGCTTTTGCGGGATAATGTGCCAGCCACTGTTGCTCAAAACAAGAAGCACAGCACAGTGAAACACAGTGCACAGATGACATTAAAGGTACATGCATGCATTGTCTGGGTAATTTCCAATTGATGGAGACAGAGCCGACATCCAGTTCTCCATTCTTTGGACCATGGTAACATCAGATGTGGGAGAGAGTGAATTTTTGACAAAGAAAGACCAGCAACTGGCCGTTGAGAAAACCACTTTGAAAAGTCAAAGAACTGCAAGGTTCAGGGTACAATGTATGAACATTTCCTCTTTGCTAGAACAGGCAATATAGTCGGATGGGCTTGAAAGTGAAAGTGAGGTCCAGTACATTTTAGATGGTGTGGCACTTCTTCATCACACACCTTGGACTGTTGGAATGTGTTACACACCAGGGTGATATAGGAGAGCTATAGTGTAGCATTATAAAGGGATCATCTTGGATGTCCCCTCTACTAAGCTATGGTTCTGCACACCTTGTTAGTTCCAGCTATCCAGCTATCGTCTTCACAGATGAGACGAAGCTGCAGAGTGGAAAAGAAAACAAATCTTACCAACAAAGAAAACAAACAGGTTAATTCATTTCCTTGGTGAGAAGTTGGAAGGTGTTGGAGTTAAAGTAATCCAAGTTCCAGGTGATGCAGACCCCCATATTTCATTTAAATAAAAAAGTTTATCTGAAGCGCACATCATATGATCATAATCTTCTGAGCCTTGTCCCAAAGCCATAATTGCTCGTAATGTCTTGCTTTTTTCTTGCTTTTGAAGTGAAATCTAGGTCATCCCTGGTGAAGATGGTTAGGTACTAATTGACTGGTCAGTTATTTTTAACTAAGATTCAAATGGAATAAGACATTGAACTAAGTGTAGGGACAGGATGGCAATACATTTTAAGTGAAAATAACATCGTTTACCTCAGGCAAGTTTATTTTGAATTGGATAAAGAGCTCCTTTAAAATCATTTTATTTAAGTCTTTATGTCCTGGCCAATCTAGTACTACAACAGAAAGTGGTAAAAGACCATAAATGTACTTTTGAGCTTATTTTTTATTCAATTTTTTACTTCAAATTTGGTAATTTGTAGCCGCCATTTTAGTTTTGGCGGCCATATTGTATTTTGTTGAGGCTATCTGCATTTGATTTATTTGGAGAGAAGTGGCACAACATCCCTTTATGCATTTTGTACCATTTCAACAAGCTTTTGTTAAAACCACCTGGAGCAAATCTGCACCTACTAACTGTAGATCTCTGTACTGGCGGCCATTTTTGATTTTCCCCAAAAAAATACCTTTTCCACTACTTGGATTTTTCTAGATTTTTAATATGATTATATGGACCACTCAAAGACTCAAAAAAACCATACTACAATTTTTTTGCAATTAGTCCTGGGTTAAACCATTTTTTTCTTAGCCTATATGTCTAATCCACGGTTTATCCTTGAGGATTTGAATCAGAAAATATTTACAAAATACCACTATCCGAATGTGTTTGATTTATCAACGTTTTATCCTTTAGATTTCAATAAGATGAAGAAGGTATGAATATCTGACTCTGATTTAATTTAACAATATTTGACGGTGGACAGCCAAAGCTGAAAGCAGAGGCAAACGGAAAACATTCAGTCAACATCATATGGCAAATAACTTGTGGTTTGTTATTTATCAAACAGTCAGCGCCAACCGGATTCTGATGGTAGACTGAAGAGTGTTAGATATGTGGTTTATATTTACCAAATTATCTTACTGTTTAATATATATAAATTCGTATTAATAAAAATGTTTGATATGCGCTGTCACCTTATTAGATCGGTTGATATCCAGTTTGTGTTTGTACTGCCACAGAACGTTCACCGGCCCCGAGTCTTTCTTCATTACTGCCACCATGAGGGGGTTCATGCCTTCCTGGAAAAGATACAATCACCCCAAAAAACTAATGACCATGGATAAAAAAAGGGGAAAATGATGTAGGAGGAAAGGTGGAGGTGATCGAAACTCGCCCAACTTGTAGTTAAGAGTTTAACATTCGAATTATAGTATCCAATTCATAACTTACACAAGTAAAAGTGTTTATTACACAAGGCCTATACTATAAGATCCAAAGACTATTGTCTTCGAAAATGGTAAAGTGTAACTTACGTTATCTTCAAATGAAGGATCGGCACCATGTTGCAAAAGTTCCTGCATAACTGTCGGGTTGCCACATTTAACAGCGTGAATGAGCGCGGAGCTCCCATCCTGGTTAGTGCATGAAATAAGTAAACAAATTGAATTAATCGATATAAAATGAAGTATCCCAGTAACGGTGAAAATGAAGACATTCAGATGGGATTTCACATAACTGCGCAACCCTGTTTTCCATGCAATTACGTGCAAATAAAGAAGAACAATTATGTAGTCATTCAGCAAATATGAACGCATTAAACTGAAAGGAAATAAAAATGACGCAATGTAGGCCCGTCTCAAAAATACTCACTGTAATCTTGGTCCTTACCAACAACATTTTAATCAGAACACAGTGGCAAGGAAGATCGTTTGTATTTTCAGTTAGGCAGTAGCCAGTGAGTTGTATTCATCAATATGTCATAGATGTGTATCTACGCAAGCAGCTAAAAATATTATACAGATCAGAAAAAGATCGGCCGTTCCTTACCGTTTTGCTGCGAGTGTTAACGTCCGCTCCTGCTGCTATTAGCGCTTTCAATCCCACCAAGTGACCAAACGAGCTGACCACAAGAAGAGGCGGAATACCCAGCTGAAAAGGCATGGTGACGCGATTTATTTATATATTTATTTATTTCCACGCAGCGCAAATTTAATGATTCCAGTTTTAATTATTAACAATGATAGTTTTGGAATGATTAAAATTTATTCACAATTGAAGGAGTGAGCTAGAAAGGCAGTCATAAGAAACATTAAAGAATAGACAGGCATGAGCTTTTTCAAACTCAGGCTATGGCACACTACAGAAAAGCGTGGAAAAGCTTGGTGTGCAGAATTCAGCGATAGAGAAAAAGAAGGTAATGAAGTGACTCAAAAACGCATTTCATGCCAGTTTTAGAATTAAATTCACTACGACATAACCATGTCATACCTTTTCTCTAAATTTTGGGAACTGAATAGGGTAACCGGTAGTTCACCCACTCTTTAGTATCTCTTACCCACAGTTAAGGTTTTTTGCTACTATGAGCCCATAATTTTGTTAAAAATAGTTAAAATGAGACACAGACCTCACAGAATTTTTCCTATGTAGATATGACGAGGAAAACAATGTTACCAGGGATATTAAGAATCAACCATAATAAAATGGTCAGTTGTTAGCAATAAAACTCCTAAATTAATTTTTTCTTGAATGTGTTAAAAACTCTATCACGACAGGCTATAATGTTAAGGTAAGGTAAGAATAACAGACCAGTTACTTTATACCAACCAGTTCGTCTATTTCCCTCCTCAACAAGAGATCTATGTTGGCATTATTTCTCTCGTTGAATAACTCATCCAGCAGAAGACGAGATCTCTCCTCCAAGGTCATGCCTGTCACATCTTTCTTTGGTTGACTAAAAATCAAGTCCCTTAGTTCTCGAATTGCACATCCCGATTTGCACTGGTATTTGTTGTTGCCATGTTTACACAAAATCAACTTTTTGAATTGCTCTTGAATCGCTTTAGGAAGAGTAGGAAGAGTTCGTTCCATATCTTCTGTTCCCTGATTTTTTCTTAAAAAAATATACCAAACTAGAAAAAGACTTATCAAAATCATAAACAAGACATTATTAATTCCGAGTCCTGCGGATTCTTCGGCATAATCGTCTCCATTCATCAATGTTGTTTTGGCAAATCATAACGGTTTCTGTGATGGAGTTTTCTCAAATGCTAGAAACACGCGCAACGTTCGAGTGACGTTTACGTCATTCCCGTTCTATCTGCCTGTCGCGCGTGTTTTTTAATGCGTGACATCGTGACGTTTACATAATGTAGTTTTATTACGTCGTCAAGTGTTGGTTTGATATTCTAAAAATTATTGTACTAATAGGGCAAACTTATTCTACGTTTTCCTCCTATTTTTGTAAAATTTCAATGCATGAGCCCCTATTTGTCAAACACTAACGTATGTCAAAAGAAAAGGCTAACAGACGTTTAGGGGTCTGCATATAATCAAGAACGAAAAACGGATGTTTCATACGGGCACGCTTTTGCACAGAATCTAGATCTACGTGATTTTAGATGTAGGCCTACGTGTAGCACACAACAGTCTGAATTAGATGCATAGAGTTTAACTTATTAAAATTAGCCCAAATCGTGTTTTAGCGTCGTTTTTTGTCCGTACGGCTGTTCAGTTTTATAACGCTGTGATTTTTACGTCAAGCCACTCCAGTCCGCGCACGTTTTGCTATTGTTGAAATTCTAATATTTATTCTGAAATATCAATTTCTTTAAAAACCACCATATACGTGCTATTTACTGCTGTTTACAGTAAAAGTTATAAACAATAAAGTGAACACAATTTTTTTCAAGATTTTCAAGATTTTTCNAGGCAATCTTTCTTAGGCAATCTTTCTTAGGCAATCTCTCTGAGCCTTGTTTTCAGTTGGAAATCTGAAATATTGCTTGCATTACATCATACTTAAACCATACCAAAAGTTCAATTTTTCCATTCTTGCTTAAAACAAGGAATATAAACTTGCAGTCAACATCTTGCTGGGCTTGCGCTCATTTGATTTCTCTCATTTATCAATTGCAACTAATGAGAGCGTAAGCCATTAATTTCACAACTTAAACATGAACGTTTTCTTTTTTACTGACAGAAAAATAACCTTTATCAATAGCACAAACAACAATCATAGGCCTATTGTTTAGCGGCCTGGGAAGAAATAAACTTTCTTCAATAGTGTGCTTTCAAACGAGGACACCTGTTTGATACCCAATCCCCGTGTTTGCCGCTTTGCGATGTGAGCATTGACCTGTAAAATGAAATAATATACTTCAGTTTTCAGGCAATTTCAGGCAATTTTTAGGCATTAATGTTATCCCTATATATAAGACGCACAATATTTACCCCTTACACATCTATCCAAACATTCTGGTCGAGCAGTCATATAGTACTGCAGTGCGTATACAAAGGTCTTACTAAGGCTTGTATATATTTTGGTAATGTCGGTATTCAATCAAAAATAGTTTATAAACTAAATAAACTTAAAACAAAACGCTTTACCTTGCCAAACAGAGACACCGCGTCTTCTGTGCAGGCATATTTCGCAAAAACTGACGCTATTCCTTGGATAAACCAAGTGCCAGTTTTAGTGTCTCGCATTGCTACGTAATCTGAAAAAAATATACAATTGCATTTGAATAGGTTTAATTCTTCTGTAAATCTATTTTAATAAGCTTCAAATTACCATTAATATCTACCTGTCGTCACAGAAAGAAACCATTTGAGACTAACGACTTTCATTCAACAAGTAACACTTAAAAGTAAGCAATTTTCAATTTCTTTAATATTGTATATTTCTCGGGCCCTTTTTACATCAATGAATTTATATTAACTTTTAAAAGAGCGCAAAAGGTGTGTGAAGTAAAGGAAATATTTTTTCCTATTTTATGATCTTGGATACCAATTTTCAAACAAAATATACCTGGAGTAGTGGCGTAAGCCACAAGAAAATCGGCCATGGTTGGCAGTTTTTCATCCATGTGCTCCCCCCGCTGTAAGTCAGCATCTCTCCTTTCCTCTGTAACGCACAACAGTGAGTCTTTTTCTTTGTTTTCCTCTAATGCTGGACGCCCGTCGGCAACCGATATTTGCTGCCATTTTTCTTCGATATGGGGTAGTGATGCTGGGAGAGCATCTAATTGTTTGAGCGGCACCCCTTCGTCCATTAATTCTGCAAATGAATTACATCCTTTTTTATACTTTAATACATCAACTAAGTCATTTACTAAATTACTTAAAACTTAAAGAATTCGCCGTTTGCAAGACTATTTAACCACCACATTATGAAATCTCTACTGGGGGTATAAAGAAAGAAATCTCCATTCAGAAATTCAATGTGAAATCCTTAACAATACTATAACATGACATGCTGTGTACTTATTGTTATTTCAGCACTCACTTCCAAGGCACGATTGTATAATAACAATCTTCGGCTTTCCTCTCAAGCCTTCGCAGTTAGCGTTGTTGAAATACTGTTTGATGACGTCATAGGGCACCAAGTTTCCATCTGTTCCATACATCCCTTCCTTGGTCCCATGAGTCAGTATTATCAGGATGAAGGAGTCGTACTTTTTGTGAACATCCCTTTTGCTTTCACGCTCCAGCAGTCTATGTATTTGCTGTAAGATATACATAATGAAAGTTGTACCAAACGCATGTCTTGATATGTTGTCAATCTAAAGGCGACGGACATGGTTTCTCGAAGAAAATTCATTTCTGGTGAAAGCCATTTTATCGCTAATAACTGACATTTGTCACTTTGAGTGGACTTCCGTATTAACAAGCGTCTAAAATTAAAACGGATGGACAATACTAGAAGTCCGTTTGTTTCTGCTCTTAGAATAACAGCCGTGCTTTAGCTATAGATTTCACTGTATAAATTGCAAAAGGAAATAATTTTAAAATATTTCTCTTTGACAACAAATTACTTGAATGTATATTACTGCGCATATACCTCCGAAGAAAGGTCGTGGTGGACCTGGACCCTATACTGTAATTGATACAAGAGATTCTGCAGCGTCTCTGAGTCTGCATCCGTCCCTGTGCGATTTCTCAGGTTGCCGCAGCTGTACATCTCGTTATTAATAATGACAGCCCTTCCTCTTGGAGTCGATGTATTGGAGTAAACCTATTTAAAGACAATGATGTATATATTTCATAAAATGCAACTGATCAGCCGAGTTGCCAACATAAAAACTAGTTATGTCCAGCTAAGATCTCTGTCATAACTGATTACTGATACTGCTAAAATTCCTGAAAATATGGACATAATATAGGAGTTATTTAACCCAGCGGTATTAAATGCCGATGAACAAGTCATATTAGAGAGAGAGAGAGAGAGAGAGAGAGAGAGAGTGCGTGTGTTTTTGTGTGTGTGTGTACGTGTGTGTGAGACAGAGTGTGTGCGTGTGCGTGTGTGTGAGTGTGTGTGTGTGTGTGTGTGTGTGAGAGAGAGAGAGAGAGAGAGAAAATGAGAGAGAGAGAGGAGCGAGGGCGAAAGTTAGGAAAATATCAATTTAAGTGAAAATCTCAAAGATTTGTCAATATCAGCTTAAAGAATATAAAGAACACGTACATCTGGATCATTTGCAAATGTTTCATAAAATTCTTCTGTGCAGGGTTTTATTTCCACTTCGCAGGCCTCTTCAGCCTCGGCTGGAAAAGAGATTTAACGGTGCTTGTAGAAAATAACAAATAGACACTGTTAAATACAAAAACTCAATCATTTTCTTTACACCGTTGTATAATATTGTACGCTCTTAAATGAGGTACATGTACTTCGAGTATTAGTATGTATACATCAGTTGGATAAAAACACACAAAATATCTCAAGTTGGATTCTGTTGGATCATATTTTATCCCTTATCAAGCCTAACCTTTCATTACATTATCCGTGTGTAAAACCTCAATGGCGCGGAAAAAAGGCGATGACTCAGCTGGAGAATATTTTTCTCTCTTATAGATAACTTCAGTCGTTGAATTTGTAGGGATGACTCGGGCACTGGGTTTTTCTTCGGTTGCTTTAACCTCTATGTTAGTGTGATTTTCAGTTGACAAATCTTTGATGGTGGGCGTTTCTCCAGTTGTTGGAACAACACCGGTGGTGGGGGTTTCTCCAGTTGTTTGAACACCTCCGGTAGCGGGGGTTTCTCCACTTGTTGGAAAATCTCCGGTGGTGGGGGTTTCTCCTGTTGTTGGAACATCTCCGGTGGTGGGGGTTTCTCCACTTGTTGGGACATCTCCTGTAGCGGGGGTTTCACCTGTTGTTGGAACATCTCCGGCCGTGGGGGTTTCTCCAGTTGTTGGAACATCTCTGGAGGTAGGGGTTTCTTCAGTTTTTGGAACCCCTCCAGCTTGAATCGAATTTTGGGGAAGTAATTGGTTACCAGCGCCGTTTAGCAACTGTGACATCCTCTCAAAACCATTGTTGGTTGTCTCACGGAGATACCTCAGTTCCTTCACAATTCTGTCGGACAACCTATGCTCAACTTCCTCAATAGGCATATTCTGAACATGAATCCATCTTTCGAAGAGCTCAGAGTTTTTGGCGACCAGATTCGAATCTAAGGGTTCTTCAAGGAGTGATAGGTAGTCTGCCTTGGAGTAAACCGTCGAGAGGCCAAGGAGCAAATCTTTTATCTCATGGAAAAGTTTCAGAAACGGTGTGGTTTCAATGGCTGCGTTTGAAGCATGTCCGTGGAATATATTTCTATACGTTCTAAATCTGCTAAGAAGAGCAATAGGGTCTGTATCTGTCGCAGATGGTTTTGACCATTTTGACGAGTTTGGCGACAATGTGGTAATATTTCTCAACAAAACCCCTGCCAATGTTATGTCTATATCATCCAAGAACACATTTGTGGCTGGAGTGCCCCCAGGATAGCAGAAATCTCGTTGAGAGTCGTTAAATATCTTTTTCGGCATATTGCACAAAATGCTTTGCACCTTTGTCAGCACTCCTCGCATATTACCAGATGTGGGGTCAAAATCATTTGGGTATTTCTTCTGCATTTCGCGGGACAAGAAATCGCGCAGCACATTGCCACCAAAGTCTAATAGAAGACGGGTCAGGCGAAAGAAATTACTCTTATCATTTAGAGGCACGGATTTGCGACTGAGCCAACCGTTCTGATTTTTCCTTCGTCTCAAAAACAAAATCCCAAGGGAGGCCAAACCTAATAGTGTTGGTATAAATATTGTCGCGGCCTTTACAATCATCGTGTTGTTGGCATACGTGGTTGGAAGGTCAAAGGTCTTCATTTTAAATTGGTTTAAATGTTAGGAAACACCTGGAACATAATTAAATCCCACAGATAAAAATCAATCAATCTTAAGAGCAAATTGAGCGTCAAACATTTTGGCCAAATGAGAAGTTGTCAAGTACTAAATAAAATGATATAAATAACTAAGTGAAAAGCTGGCAAATATACAAACAACCAAAAATATTACAATAATAGGGGAGACCGGGGCTAGTTGGTCCCGTTAGACACTTTTGGCCTTGTAGAGCNAAAGCAGGTGTTTAATAATTGAAAACGAATAATAAATTTCGTATTAAAAGAAAGTAACAAATTCAGTTTTAAACCACTGAGTTTGTTTCAACAATGGTCTCTAGCTGGGGGGGGGGGGGTGGAAAATCCCCTTGGGGCCACATATAACACTGTAAATACAAATTGAATCCCCTTACAATGAATTAAGGCAAAATAAATGTTTTTCTAAAGAAAGTTTCGCTTTTTAATACATACAATCTAAAGAACATTTCTAATATAAATTTTCAAAAAAACACCAGAGAGCAAATTAAATAAAATCAATCAGACGGTAAACACTGGCAAGCTTTGTCAATTTCACCAACTTGTTTATTTCAAACAGCGTTGCGCGCAAAGGATTGTGGGTAATGTGAGGGTCCAACTTGCCCCGAGTCAAGGGGACCAACTAGCCCCGGGTGCACATTATTTATTTTAAAGTATGTTAGCCATTTATGGTGCTAGAATGAGCAACGATGATACATCTCCGTGAAACTTGAAACAATGAGCTTCAGTTTGATGCCCTATACATATCTTATATTCGATCAAAAGCATATGAAAATAGATTTTTAAATCTCTTAAACAAAATTACTTTTAGGTGCAAAAAAAGTTTATTTCGACTCACCGCTTAAGTAAAACTTTTTAACGTCCGACACTTCCTTAGCATTGTAGGCTACGGTCACTTTTCAAGAGTATGTGGCCAATTTTTTTACATCGTAGTTACTTTTTCATAAATTGACGGGGGGCCAACTTACCCCGGGGTCCAACTAACCCCGGTCTCCCCTATTTACAAAAATCAAATCAATAAACTCAACAAAGCAATAGGTCCTATCTTTGTAAAGCAATCCAATCAAGCCGGTTTTCTGAGTAACCTGCCTTCTTGCCTAATGGAGTCACCCCGCAAATTTGAAGTAAAACAAAAGTACTGTTGGCTTTAAAATATTAGTAAGTATGCTGAACCAAAATATATAAAAATCAAATTCAAATTCAACCATCTGCCTCACTCAGAGCGGTGCGCCGACGGCGCATGGACACGATCGTGTGGTTAATCTTGTCATGGGGTATGTTGTATAACGTGGACAAGCTATCCATCCTGGAAATTGCAATACAGATGAGGAGGAGATGACCACGTGACCCCTACCCCTTCCTAGCCCCCACCCCCGCAGCTTATACATCAATTTGTCGAATAATCGATCGTACTCAGTTTTTTATTCACTTCTTATGTTTTTCCATATCTGTTAAAAGAATTGCGTGTGCCGTCATAATCAACTTTATATATTGCCCCGAATGGTCAGCAAAAAGAGCCGCTAGGTGTAAATAATATACAGCGGTTCTATGGGGAATGGTGAGTTAGAATTCCGCCAATAGGGCCTATTATTCTTGGTACTGTCAAGGACATGTAAGTCGTTTATCATAAAAGGCAACCTTTATGCTTATACCCTAAAAATAATTGTTCAAATTACATTTAACCCAAATGGGCCTATATTTTAAAGCCTCCCCCCCTCTTCCTATAATGCACAAACTGCGCAACTTAGCTGCCAGTGACGCATGCGTAAACTCCACATACTAGTGCATGATGTGATCATGCAAGTGACACACCTTGTTAGGTTCATTCTATTGGTATAAAATATTTTAAAATGGCCGGCAATGATTTAATAACTTTGTTTGGCCCATGGTTAGATATGTAATAGTCAAAGATGTCCAAAACCAATGTACAACGTATCTACAGTAGGAATTAGACCTCATTTTGAAATTGCCAACGCCACGTAAATGAACATAAAATCCAAATCTACGGATAGATGTGAATATCATTGAGTGTTTTGCACCAAAAATTTCATACCTGTCAACAGACGACGCGTTGTCCAACCTGAGATCTTTTCCTGTCAATGTTTTACTGTATAGACCTACTTTTCCGTCCTTATATGCCGTCTACATGGGAATCCCAGTGACATAAGCAAGCTATTTATAGATCAGACGCATTTCCTTTGTTCCCATACAATCACCAAGCAGCGGCCTCGTTTTCATACCAGCACGAAATATTACTGTCTATTGATCCACTGCTCCGTCATAGCCACAATATTCCTCGGCACTAAGTCAGAGTAACTTCACAATTCAGATGAAAGTGAGATACCTTTACCTTATTTGAACAGAGAATAGAAAAAACGGGGAAAACGTTTGGGGTGGGGCAACCTTTGAAGGCCTACCTCTGCACATGTGGGCCTACAGGCAGGATATTTGGGATCGCCTTAGGTTGAATTCTCGTTAAGACACCGACTGAAAAGAATGTAAAATACTTTGCTGGAGAAAAGACAAAGGAAAAGTTATCGCTTAATAAAGCCCCCAAACCTTTGTGAAAGTAAGTTAAAAAACACCAAGTAGTAGGCCCCTATGGTTGGTTTATATACTAGTAGGCCTTTCCATGGTCATTCTCAAGAAGACGATCGCTTTTTCTTCCTCAACAAATAAAAGTAGGCCTACATTTGCTAAAAAAGTAAATTACTAAATAAAATAATACAAATAACTAAACAGCAATACTGGCAAATAAACAAACAACCAAAAATATTACAATAACATTTTCAAAATGAAATCAATAAATCAACAAAGCAATATCTTTTGATTATCGGATTCAATCAAGCCGGTTTTCAAAGTAACCTGCCTTCTTGCCTAATGGAGTCACCCCGCAAATTTGAAGTAAAATAAAAGTACTGTTGGCTTTTAAAATATTAGTATGTATATGCTGAACCCAGATATAAAAATTCAAATTCAACCGTAGGCCTCACACAGAGCGGTGCACCGTCACGATCGTAAGGTTAACCTTGTCCTGGGGAATGTTGTCCCATTCCTCCTGGGCCCCGTAAAGCCTCGAAAGCATCACGCAAATTACGGCGAGCACAAGTGTCTCGATTCCATAACTCACAGTACTAGCCTCTACGAAATATCGCTATTCGCAATACGCGATGCTTTCGAGTTACAGACCCCAGTGATTGCCACGCGAAGTTGGTATATGTTTGAGGAACTGGAAACCCTCGTAGGACACGGCGATAATGTGAGGCAAATGCTGGGCACGCAAGGTACTGACCTCGTTGAATTTGACACCCCTGTGTTTTTGATGCCATTACTCGGGGGATAATTGACCCCACATCGACTGGTATGGCCACGAATTAACGTTTAGTTGTGAAGGAATACATACTGTTACTGCTAACCATGCACTATAGATGATTATATAAAAACAAATCCCATTTTTTCCTGCGTTTATATTTTCAGTATATAAAGAACCAGCCAGACATAAGTACACCTGTACAGATTTTTACCCAAATGTCAAGAAATCCCTGACAGCCACACCCAGTGTAATCAGCAAAACATTGAATACATTATTAAGATTGATCACACCTGTGAGTTGCAAGACAATAGGCAGATCAGTTTTCCTTGAAATGTGTTATAAGTGTTGCATATATGCAGGAAAAAGTGAAAAAACAGCATAACTTTTGTAAAAATTGGTCAAATCAAGCTGATTTTTTAACTCAACCTTTTATTTTATTTTAGTAAGATTAATCACTCCTGTAGGTTTCAAGACAATAGGCCTATGGGTTTTCCTTGAAGTGTGTAATCAGTGTTGCATATATTCTGAAAAAAGCGAAAAAACAGCATAACTGCTGACCTGTACATTATTAATATTCATCAGTTCTGTAAGTTTCAAGCCAAAAGGTAAAACGGTTTTCCACTTATCGTGTTATTGGTGCAAGTGCATGGCCATCAAAATCATTAAAATTATGACAAGAAAACCTTATCTGAATAATACTTTACTTGGTTCACTAGCATCAACATACAGAATATCAAAACTGCAAAAATAATGTGGATATAGTGGATATAGTGAAACCTGTCATCTGGTTTCCAGCTAATGACCCATAAAATTCTCTCCATTTTTTCCATACTGACCAAATTAACAACTAATAACAACTTTCCAGTAAACAAAATAGCCTGACACTTTGAACATCTAAACCTATAAAACTAGAATTGCAGCTTCTATTATAATATCTTTAATTTTGAATTCCACAGTTCATATTGCAACTTTCATAATGTTTCACCAACTTAGTCTACTAAACCTATTCTACCATTATAAAATTAAGCCAAATGTACATTTTAATCAAGAAAATGAAACATATGCCACCATTCTTCACCAATTTTACTTCCAAAAATTTGAAATGAGAAACACTGCCCTGCTTTTCCCTGCATATGAAATTCTTCCAGAGTTCCAGGTTAGAGAGTATATTTCTTTTGTGCTGTCCATGTTTATAATTAAATGAACCTGGTCCCACTTTAACATCAACATTGTTATATTCTTCTCAAATATCTCGTCAGATGGAAAAAATGCATACATCTATTGCATTTCAAAAAATTGTCAAATGTCGGCAACGGCACTGTTACTGTAGCTTTTAAACTTAGCACTACAAATAAATAAATAAATAGATAAATAAAGTAGAAGTTTTGTAGTGAGGCAGCATAAGACTCTGTTTAAAACAGGATAATGGAAGGTGCCAAGTCTCAATTCTTAGTTTCCTGAACTTTCAAATCCTGTTCGTCCTGTATCTTCCTCCAGAACTTTGAACACCCCCTCCACATCCGTATATTGCTCTTTTCTCTTCTTCTTAATGTCTTTCTTTGTGTCGTTTTCTGAAATAGTTCATTAAGTCAATATATGAAACTTTGAGCACATGTAGCTGTGCCTCAAAATACTTGCACATTTTTTCTTTCATATAAATTAACTACATCTAATCAAAAATTTTAAATTAAAAACCTATATAAATATCAAACATGTTTTTGCTAATCTGTCTTTAAATCTTGTGCTTGTAAATTTTTTCATTTGTCAAGCAATCTGAATGCTTTTCTTTGAAAAGGATATGTTTAAGTCACAATAATCAATTTAAGCACAATAAATAAATAACAACAGATAATAAGCTGTGTAATGAATAACCTTTGTAATGACAAATGAATAGCTCACCATTTTGCTCCTGATTCTTATTGATCCACTTCTCCATCAGGTCAGTTCTATCTAGCAGTTTGTCCAAGTCCCTCTTGCTGATCACCTGACCCTCGCGACCTTTGACCTCCTCATCGTGATCCTTGGACTTAAGGAGCTGGAGGAGTTCAGGGGCACCCACTGGCTTCAGGCTGTCTGTGAAGCTCTTCATGCCCACCTTAAATTTACCTGACAAATAGGAAGTTGAGAGATATAGAAATGATGCATGAAGTGGTTTATAAATGAATGACTTCAGGAATGGATTCACAGATATTTTCTGACAGTATTCTAATTATCTTCGTTGATCCATCCTCCATTTTTGATGGTCTTCAAACAGAAAAAAATAGATACCCATCAATGTAAACTTAAAAATCTGAGCATCTTCCGGAAGACCCAGAAGATGGTCTCAATCCGCCCCTGGACTTGCAAATTCTCTTATTCAGAAATAAGTAATTATATAACTTAAACATAAGACAGATTAACCAAAATAATTTTGGAAACTCCAGTGCCTCTGGTGCACCCACTCTTATGCACCACACAGACACACACCACCATCACCACCACACACCACACACCAGCCCCTCACCAGATAACACCCATAATACCTTTATGTATGACCATCTTTTCCAGTTTTCTCTTAGCTGCAGCCCTCTCCACAATCTTCTGGTCGTAGGTGTTGGCAGTGACCAACCTATAGATCAGCACCGGCTTGGTCTGGCCTATCCTGTGGCAGCGGTCTTGGGCCTGAAGGTCACTCTGGGGGTTCTGGGAACAGTTCAAAAATAGATCAAGGTCGTGGATTATACATATAACAAGGTCAAGATTGACCAATATTGGTAAAGTTTAACCAAGAGCATGTCTTCCTGAAGACAAAATGTCTGTTATGCTTCAACCAATTTTGCACTCAAAAGGCTACACTAAAATGTTTATCATAAAAATAAAATGATCATCAAAATGTAGACATATAGTATAGAATTTTTTTCCACTCCACTAAAAAACACCAACTCATTACACAAATATTATTCCATGCTAACAAAAACTCTTGCAGGCCTTTATACATAAGTGTCAATGTGGGTTGCCTCAGTAACCAATGCTGAGAAAAGTAAAATCAACTTGGCTGTAAACAAGCCTTGACAACCTACCCAGTCACTGTCATAGATGATCACAGTGTCTGCTGCCACAAGGTTTATTCCCAGACCTCCAGCTCTGGTACTCAGCAGAAACAGGAAGATCTCTGGATCTGTGTTGAATGCCTCAATCTGTCAAGTAGAAAAAAAGTTAACAATACAAGTTAACAATACTAGTACTCATTATATAATGCACAGTGAGTGAAATATGAACAAAAGCAATTTTTTTTTAGCATTACTAGTAATCTATTTACTAGGATTTAGTGATAGAAAAAAAATACTTGTTTTAATTTATATGACAGGGTAGTGTGCAGACGGGTACTGTACTAGATAGTGGGCAGCTTACCTGTTCTTTTCTTTCCTCCACTCCTTTGCTGCCGTCCAGCCTGCTGTACTGGTACTGCCTCAAGTAACAGAAGTCCTCTAAGATGTCCAGCATCTTGGTCATTTGGGAAAACAGAAGCACCTGCAAAACCAGAAGGTGATGAGCAGTGGTTATGTTTTGTTTTATTGTTTCTTTAAGTGAGAAGTACAATATTTGCTGGTTGTAGTTAAAGTAATGATGGTCTAGTCATAAGACTGGGGTGGCAAACTTGCTAATAAGGCTTTGACAAATAACTTTTGATGATGGTCAGTGGGAGTTTCTTTGAATACATTTCTAGTAACTTAAACCAAGCATTTCAAGGCTAATGATTTCCTACAAATGATTTCCCATTTTACATATCAATTGTTCATGGCAACACTACACAAAAATTGGCATATTCAAGTGAAATATGCATGTGCTCAAGTTGTTATATTCCAAGAGCACTTA